TTCTATTCCTATTATAGGTTGTTTGATTATTTTCAGCAACACTGTCTTCTAGTACTTACATGGTCAATGTTTTGCTCCAACTTGTTAAGACAATCTATGACCTTTTCCTAGATGTAGTAACACAGGTCTTGAGTTTTATTTCTTTAGTCAGCTGAAATACATGTTAAAAGGCAACACTAAGGAAGCATCCCAAGGTTAGCCTTTCATGTGCACAGTTCACAGGGAGCATTTGCCGGTGCTCTTTCAGCTCCATATGAACCTGAAAGTCGAAATTAATGATCTGCTCAGTCAGATGCTTTCTCATTAAGTACTTCAGTCTTTTGGATACTGTGTTCATTAAACTGTTAATTAGTAAAGAAAAGAAGACAATTCCAAAGATAAAGAACAAGTTCTGGCAGCCATTTAAAAGGAACAGTAGATAAGATATTGGTGTGCAGGCAACTGGCACACCGTTAAGTATCTAAAGGTCAGGTGGCCATAAATGACTGGATGATTTGGAGAATCCTCAGTGTCTAACAGTTTCCTCCAGAAGAAGCTCTAAAATTACATGAAGTATTATCCAGATTTTTGAAAGTCAAGTTTATCGCCTGATGGAAGACGAAGAAGATTCTGCTTCTTCCCTTAACAAACCTACAGCCTCCGTATCCTATTCTCAACGCAAAAATGAGATCCCTAAAATGCCTTACACTGGCAAGGCTTGCCCTGCCAATGAATTTGTTCTGAGGGAAAAAAAAAAAAAAACCCACAAGTTTTCTGATTTTGCAAGCCTTTATAAACTTGTAGAATATTTATTAAACCAAATTCAAAATGGCAGGCTACGATCCGAAGGAATAAACATCTCAGAAGAATTACTCAAGAGGAAATGCTGATCACAATTTAAACAATATTAGTGAATATCTCATGAACATGATACAAACGAGGCAAATTTCCTGTGTAGTGTACTCTTTCCTATGATCAGATAGTTTCTGAATCATAGATTTTGTGATTCTGCTTCTTTGATCTGGAAATTGCAGCTTCAGTTCAAACTCAGGTATTGTATCTACAAGGTACTCTAGGTCCAGGGCATCACAGCATTCAGCACCTGGGGCAATGCTCCGCGTCAGCTTCCAATTCTAAAGTTTTCAAAGTAGTTTAACATCTACACTTATCACTTCACTCTTGCAAAAATTCCTAGGTGATACTGTTAGAACAGGCAGATAGCTAGATATGAGCAGAGAAAGGGGGACGCAGACCAAATGGCAAGAATTGGGCAGAAAGGAGGGGCACAGGCCAAATGCAGGAAACCACACATCATGTAAGCACCAGGGGTCCCTGGGCAGAGAAAGAAAAGCAGGCACCTTTGGGCTGGTAAGTGGTCACACCTTTTGGGGTGATGACTGGTCTGGAGATGAACAAAGAAAGGTGAGAAAAGGCAGGAATTTAGTGCCTGAATGTAACCTTTTGCTCATTATGTCCTCACCTCAATAAAATTAGCCTTCCAGATTAGAAGTACTCATCATGCACCGATGCCATGACACTTCCGATCCTGACTAAAGACAAAAATCCCTCCTCCCTTTGGGAAGGTGGAGTTGGGATGATAATCAGGGAACATGACCCCAAACCCTTCCCTCCCCAGTGAATATTCCGCCCATTCATTTTTACACCCTATGTAACTAACTTGCCAAAGAAACTCAGGGCAGCCGCTCACCTGAGCCTTCCCCTTGGGAGTGTATTATCCATCCTTTAATAAATTCTCTCTTTACTTTTTTAACCACTACATCTTGTCCCTGAATTCTTTCTGGGAGGGGACAAGAACCTGGAACACTGGTTACATCCACAGGCAACAGTACCACCAGTAAGTATTATTATAATTTTAAGACAACTTGAAGACCAGTGAGGTTGAGCTACGTCACTGGACTAACAATCCTGACCTCACAGTACCCGCTTCCATTTCCACAGCTTACTCATCCTCAAGAAAGGAAGAATTATAAATGGCAGGTCTTACTTTCGGCCGAGGCTGGCCAAATGAGCCCAGACCAGACACTCCTGAACTGGAGCAGCATTCTAAGACAGACTCAGCAGGGACCCACACACACTGGTTAGCGGCACAACTCTTTGTTTAAATGCCTTTGCCAGTGTCTTCGTCCATATTCCTTCAGGTCAACTGACTCCAAATTCCTGGGTTTGTTTCTCCTAAAACGTTTGGCTATCATGAGACACATTTTCATTACTACCTCATGTATATTCCCTATAAACACAAAGAAAGTTCGGCCATCCTATTTATCTAAATTGAGTAACAGAACAGTGTAGTCACCGAAGTTCACGGTCACACAGCACTTCGGTGTCCTGACCCATAAAATGGGTGTCCTGCCAACCTTACATGACTGTCGTAAGAATTAAGTGAGACAAAAATGTGTTGACTACGAGTGCCACGGCGACACAAAATGAAGCTATTGCTATTTATATACGCACAGTGGGGGCAGGGTGGGGGATAACTTTACAGCAGTGTTTATCAAACTTTTTCCTCATTAACGCCAAGGATTCACTATCATATCCAGATCGGCCTTCCACCTAGGGAGAAATTAGCAGGATTTTCAAGTGGATGAAACAAAACTAATGGCAATGAGAGTCTCATGAAATAAAATCCATAATCCCCCAGTCCATTAGCTAATCAAATATTTATACTGTTCTTATTTTATTTTTCATTCTTATATCCACAACTAGACTGTCCAGGAATCGGCATAATGATTGAGCCTAAGTTCCAATCCTACTTTCACCATTTACTTGCCGTGACTTTAGTGAACTACTTAACTTTCCAGATCCTCAATTTTATCATACATAGAAAGGGTACTATAATAGCACCTAACAGCATTATTACAATTATTAAATGTATTAATAAATATAGTATTTATTATTATACAGGGTACTGTATAAATGTTACTCTTTTAATGCACTGTCTAGTTTTTAATACTGACAGTCATAGAGCAGACACAATAAATCCTGACTGATGGATTAGAAAGCAGGATGAACATGTGAAGTCATCCGGTCTACCCTCATAGGCAGCAAGGCTACATCAGAACAATCAGATCAATCACTGCTTTGTCTATTTTTAAAGATTCTTAAGGACATGTCTATATTTGAACCTCATTACGTATTTAACAATCTATACCATTAGGTTAATTATAAGAATGAATTCCCTAAATCCACTGGGACTGCCCCTAAATTCATTTCCACAGCTGGCCTCCACATTATTACAGACTATTGGTCAGCTTTCTTTTTCAAAACCCAGCCACCTCAGCCCCGTTACTCCTTCCTCAGGGTTAGCAATGTTTATTTTCATTTGAATTCCCAAGTGTAGAAATATTTCAGGCATACACTGACCTAGGTTAAAACACTCTTGAAGAACTCAAAGAGGATTACACTGGAAAGTGGAAGAAAACCAAAAACCACAAAGTAAACTTTCAATAGGTTTCAGTCTTGCATGCACTGGCTCCAAAGAATGCCACTGATTCAACAATTCTGATCGAAACTATTTATTGTAGAAGGTAAACAAATATATTCATTTTTATTCATCCCTATTATAATATTATGAAAACTGAGCCCCAGTAAAAACTGAATAAAGTCACTTGAGGAATAAAATCAATTACAGACACACTGTGTACTTACACTCAGACAGACTTGGAAATTCAGCGCTTTAAGCTAATTTCCCTCTTGGTATTTTCAGACCTAATTCAATAACACAAGTAATGCTTATTAGTAATATTAATGTGCCATATGCTAGCTCTGTCAACTGAATGTTCTTCTTGGTTTTTTTTTTTTTTTTTTTGACTAAAATGTCAATCTAACGTCTGGAATCCCACCCAAGAGAATCTAAGCAAAATTACAATGAACAAATTCATTCTACAGGCATAATAATTAGCCAGGGGCCCACTCATGAATGTGTATAATTAAGTTCTTATACACATTATAATAATTTGAAATCATGAGATTTGCATAATTTGGCTAATATAAACAGCTACTAGTCCCAGGCACTGTACAAAGTCCTTTAAGTATATTATCTCATTTTATCTTTACAATGAGAAAAAAATGGCTCAGAGATTCAACAACTTACTTAAGGTTGCACAACGAGTATCAGAGTAGATTTAAATTCAGTCATTCTAACATCACAAAGCCCTTCCCAACGAGCCTTGTCTACTGCTTCGTACTAGAGAGACATTTGAGAAACATTTGTGGTAACACAGAGAAAAAACAGATTAAACCAGAAACATCTTTTCTGCAAACAGCTACTAATACCACCAAACCAAGGAGAGAGAGGAGGTCTCTAATGAAGACCCCCCAAAAAATCTATTTTAATTTTTTTGTTTGTTCTTCAAAGAGCAGTAGAAAATATCTCATATCTCCAATTTTTATATTAAGGGCAAACTATTTGATTATTATGAGTATTAAAAATTACATTTCAGTACATTGAACGGACAGATTATTTCACCAGTTTTAATAGGTAAGAAAAGTTCAAAAGAAATGTACACGTTAGATAAACAACAAGGTCCTACTGTACAGCACGGGGAACTGCATTCAGTACCTGGTAATAGCCTATAATGAGAAAGAATATGAAAAGGAATATATACATGTATAAATAAATCACTATGCTATACACTGGAAATTAGCACAGCATTATAAATCAAAACAAACACCAAATTAAAAAAAAAAAAGAAATGTACCCCTTCCTCATTTTAATGCAAAAGGCTTCAGCAGCTCCCCTGTTGTCCAGGGCGCATCAGCACAGCTGGTAGCTCACATCCACAGTGGTGGTCTCAGGGAAGGGCATATAATCCCATCAGAGCTATTTGCTGGGATTTCTAGGGAAGAGAAGTTACCTGAACCCTTTCTTTCCGCGGGTGACACGGAGAAAGGCCAGAAACAGGTGGGAAACCACCACTGCCCTCAGCTGTAAGGGGAGAGCTGGAGCTGCCGGAGTGCCCTCCATGAAACCTGAGGGCAAGGCTGGTTCCCGAACCTAAAACCACCTCTGAACCGTTCACTCGTTGCACTGATGAATTCCCTTGATTATTCAGGCCATTTGGCTTACTTGTCCCCTATGACCAAAGACTCCTAATTCAAACAGAAAGTCAGAAGTCAAGGTGGGTGGGTATAGCTCAATGGTAGAGTGTGTGCTCAGCATTCACAAGGTTGGGTTCAATCCCCAGTCCCTCCATTAAAGTAAATAAATAAATAAACCTAATTACCTCCCCTCCCTGCTCCCCCCCAAAATAGATAAAATAAAATTAAAAAAAAAAACAAAGTGAGTCTTCAGAAAGCACAACCTTAAAAACATTCTGTTAAAAAAAAAAAGATTTGCATCTGATGCCTCCTAGGTTCTGCCACAACAGGGTTAAGAGTGTTCTGCCCGCGCGTTCATCTTAGCCAATTTCCCTCTCCTAAGGCAGATCAGACGCCTCTTCCCTTCACAGACAGCGGCTGCCATTTCCAAAGACAGTCAGCCTGGCCCCAGGAAGATCCGGGAGGAGACTGTGGAGGCGGCCCGGGAGGAATGAGGCTGCCAGGGTGGACCAAGTGCCTGGACTAAATAGCCCCCGTGCGGGAGCCAGGAGGAGGGCCACCTGCCAGAGGATGTGGTCACCAACAAATGTGGAGGCAGCCGGGCATGCGGGTTCAGGCACACCGTCAGCGTCAGGGAGGGAAGGGAAAAACCAAGAGTGGTTCTCCAACTTGTTGGGTTCCCGGCCCATATTCAAATATTGGAAACACTGACCAGGACACTTTTCTTAAAGCAGTGCATGCAGAAGCTTGAGAAAATAGCCGTTTTTCATATTGAAGAATGGGGAAGGGAGGTTTATAGGCTCAGCCATCAGCACGTTCTGCTGAGTGCCAGCTCTGCTCAGATATCCCGCGGCTCCACTAGGTCCCTCCCGGGCACTGGGAGCTGCTTTTGAATAGAACTGTTTACCGCCAGGCCCGGATTTCTACTGAGCCCAGGAGGTGGTTTTCTTACATTCCAGTCAACCCTTGATCTTTCTTAGGCGCAGGGAAGCAGTTAGGTCTCCTATCTCTCTCTGCAGGAAACCGGATCCCACTCAGAGCAGCCAGCAAAGCATGACTAATAATGTGGGGTGAAAAGAAATATACTTTGACCGCAATTGAGGGCCCAAGATTTAAGGTACCACTGTGAGGGAGGCAGGGAGCAAGGGAACCCAAACCAGGGCCTGTTGCCTAGAGACATCTTTAAAAGCTTAAAATTAACATCTTGTTGGCCTTAGGTGATACTTTTGCTTGAGTACCGGAAAAGGCCACCCTGAAGGAATACAAAGGCCTGACCAGATCTAATCTATGTGACCACATTGTTTACAGGTCTCGTTTTTTTCCATCTGGCTTGACTACATTTTTTTGAGGGTCCCTAGTTACCTAATTTGAGCCAGACCACTGTATTTGAGGGTCCCGAGTTACCTGATTTTGTTTTTGCAGCATGCTTGTTCCACAGAGCAGAACAGAGCTGGAAACCAAGAAGGAAAAGAGCAGCCAGCGGAAAGGGGACAAGAAGCACCAAAGACAACGAAGAAAAGGACCGGAGCGGGGGTTCTTCCGAAAAGCCACCTGGGCTGATGGCTCCCTCACTTAGAGTCTTTCCACCTGAGTGTGTTTTCCTCTTTTGAGCAAAAAAGCAGCTTTCACTCTGCCCCTTTGTCTCCACTGTGAATTCTTTCACGGCCAGAAGACAAGAACACACTCTTCAGGGTTTTCCCCCTCTTTTAGGGGGCTTCCGCGGCCACTAACACCTGGTAGACAGCTAAAGAAAGGAAGGGAGGTACAGCTCACATTATTAACTCGAGGGACACGAGCAGACCATGATCAGGGCCAGCTACAGGCAGTGGGCAGGGAGCACCACACAGGGGGAGCAAGTATCCAAACTGAAACACAAACCAAGGTTAGAGCTGCACTGATACTAGTGCTGATTTTTCAAATCCTTCTTGCCTGGAGTCAGAATTGGTCCCAGAGACTGCTGAGTGGCTGAGTCAGGAGGTGGAGCTCAAGGGGGTGGGGGGTGGGGTCTGTGAAGGCTGGAATCCAGGCAGAGTCTAAGAGCCTGCTTTAACCCAAGCAGTGGGGATGACTAACAGTAGAAACCAGACTCGAGAACTCGTGAGTCACCCTCAAGGGAAACCACCGCTCGCGTCAGTAACTTCTCTGGGAACTTGGAACACATGTGTTAGAACAAATATTTTAGAATCTAATATCTTGCACCAACAAGACTGAATCACTCCTACATTTTGGATGGGTCACAGTTACTGTTTCTGTTCTCAGAGCTCTTCAGTTACCAGAGGAGGCTAATAATTCCGGCTTAGAATATTTTTACCAGTTAAAAAACAGCAGTAGGAATTGACCTTTTGGAAAAGTGAATTATTACACTGGAACTCCTGACACTGAGGGAGAGTGTCCACAATCAGTGCCCCCTGGACCAGCTGTCATTCCCATCAGTAAAATCGTCAGGGGACCGATGCTCAGAATGAACGTGCTGCTTGGTTTTGCGATCAGAGCAGAGCAATTAAAATCCGAATTTCTATAAACCAGGTATGAGTTCACTTTCCTCACACATTCCCTTCCAACTTAAAGAAAACATTCGCTAATTTCCTATTAGAGACAAGGCATTGTATGAGCTTCTAAAAAAGATGGCAAACTTGCACAGATAACAAAGAAACCAAATAAATACCTGGCTGTAGAGTAAAAATAGAATTAAAAGGTTAAGTATTGTTAGCTTGCTCCTTATCAGAGATGTGATCCGTCAAGATTCCATTCAAAATGTTTCTTTCCAGACATCCTTATAGTTGAAATAAGCCAGAAATAAGCCACTGCTACTGACACCCACAACAACATGGATGCAATTTCAAAAATGTTATGCTAAGTGAAAGAGGCCAGATACACGAAAGACTATATTCTACACGGTTCCATTTGTATGAAGTTTAAGAACAGGTGAAAGCAGTCAATGGTAGCAAATGTCACTAAATGTTTGCCTGGCCTGGGGGGGGAACAGCCTGACCTGAAAGGATGATGGAAATGTTTTCTGTCTTGTTTTTGGTAGGCAGGCATAGTACTGCCCAAACTTACCAAACTGAACAGTTAACCGTGCATTTTACAGTATGTGAAATATGCCTTTTAAATGTTAAAAAAAAAAAAAGCAAACACCACTGTACTAGGAATAGAGGGTTCAAATAAAAGCATGGCAAAGGGTTAATGATCGTATCCCTTATACTTGATGGCATTTATAAAGAAAATGTTCTATTTGAAAGGAATGAGCTGTAACGGATATAACAATACGTTTAACAGCGCAGTCGTATCGCCTGCTAGATTTCAGTCGTGTAAGAAAGATCCTAACGCAGAAAAATAACAGGATCTTTCAACAGTAAATGAAAACAATTTGCATCTGTTTCTTCTGCCCTATGAACTGAAAACCAAACCAGTTTTAAGTTGCATCTTCCATATTACTCTGTTTCTTAGCAGGGTACTCTGGCTATCCACAGGGAAGGAATTCTGGAGGGTGATTCTCTAGTATTTGGGCTTTTCAAGGGGAGAATTCTTGAGCGAGCATCTCAGAGTCCCTGTGGGGCTTGTCCACCCTCACACAAATTCTGATTCATGCCTCGGGGGCGAGGCTTTGACTACCCAGCCAAAGTCAGTCACTTCCTAACAGGAAGGAGTCACACCCTCCGTGAGCAGGGCAGAACGACTAGAGAACAAGTTTCTGGCTGAGAATCTAGAAAAGGGACTCTTGCTGGCTCCTCGCCCCTTGTAAGTCAAGAGAGGAAAGGGCGGAGTGCAGGGAACAGAGGTACTTGCTCCATCTCTTGCCTCTTCCTTGATCGACTCGGGCTGGGGGGGGGGGAGGCACAGAATTGCTTGTGCCCAGCCTCTCCTTCTCCTTTAACTGAAGTTAGAAGATTACGCTAAGCTGAGCTACAAAGAAAGAATAAAAGGAACTGGGAGTGACCTACCAAGTTTCCCTGCTTTCCAACCCAGGGCTCACATGTTAGCCAACCTACCAAGGAATAAAGAGGCACAGGACCGAGGGTGCAGCACCGGAGCTCCTTGCTCACCTTTGCAAGGTGCGTTAACATCTGTAGAAATCAGTGCAAACAAAACTTCCGCCTGGAGGATTTCCCCCAGTACAGCTGGAGTCGTGAGCCCAAAAATACGTGCGGTATTTTACACATTAATCTAATGTGCATCTTGCGCCTTCTCAGAGACCTGCCTTTTCCCCTTCACTCTTTTAATTTTTTAATTAAAGAAAAACTGTTTGGAGGGGTTGAATTAAGTTTATTACTTTATTTGTAAAGGAGGGACTGGGGATTGAACCCATGACCTCGTGCATGCTAAGCACATGCTCCATCACTGAGCTCCACCCTTCCCACTGGAGACTTGCTTTTTAAAGATTAGACTCTAAGGCCATGCTGTTTTCAGACTGATGAGCATAAGAGCTGCCGTTGTTACCCAGCCCCCTGAACCGGCTTTGGATCCCCCCCACCCAGGTCTGTCTTCAGCTGTGCTCTCCTGGTTCCGGCTCTTTCTGAACTATCTTTAAATATAATTTGCTGGTATCTGTGGGCATGTTTGTCACCCCTTGCCAGCAGGCCTACTCGTCCAGGGCAGAGGCCATTTCTTCTGTCTTGTGTATTCAGTTCCTAGCACCTGGCACAGAGAAGGCGCTGGATAGACATTAGGTAAGTCAATGGATTTCCAGATGTGTTTTCTGGGCTTTACTTGATCACTTATTAGAATATAAACGCCACTGAAGATGGGACCTCCTCTACCTGGTTCTGTACCCTCAGACCTTAAATAGCTCATGACCCAAACAGGGTCTTCAGAGAGCGTGAGATGAGATCAAGCCAGTGCTCTGCGCTAAACGAAATCTCTATGCGCATGGCTTTTTTAAAATGCAGTAGACCTGATTTATGAAGGCCACAGCTAGCAAATCCCATGATCATCTTTCAAAGAGGTTTTTGTGTGTGTGCCAAATAAGCCAGT